GTAAAAAACGCAAAAATGCCCATAAAAACAGCAAAACGCAAAATGCGAAACTTAAAATTTGTATGTATCTCCCCATGGACCCAATGAACCTCAGCACCAATTTTGGTGAAGTTCTATCCACACCCTGCAAAGTAGTTACATGGACATACAACAGACAGTACTATTATATTTATTATTTTGATAAAGATACAAATTTCGGTAAAACTTTGAAAAGTCTATGGCGAAGCAAGAAAATAGAATATAAATACAATTCAAGTATTAATACTAAGTTGTACAAAACTATTAAGTGCTGTGGCATGTAAAATTAATGTTTTATCTTGACCAGTGCAGTTTTATGCTGCTATTATTTCATGTCATATGAGCATTATTTTTTTGCAGCTGTAAACAGTAGGTTTGTTATTACAGTTACAAGATGAACTATCAACAGCAAAGTTCCAAGCGATCTTGGCTTAATTTATATGTCAAAAGATACTTCAAGAAGGGTGGAAGTGATGATATTAAAGTTTCATATAATTATTGCACAGATTTTATTGCAGCTAGAACCCAGTAAACGGTGTTTTACGTCAAGTTGCATACGTTTTTTGCCCGATGATATTTGTTAAATGAAACTATAATTTTCTATTTTTACTAGAAAATATTACCAAAATGACTCATTAGAACTTCTCATTGTACTGTTATAATATTTAGCCAATGAATTTCTGGAGTTGAACAAATCCAAAAGTCTATCTTACAAGTTTAACCGCGGGTTCAATTTCCTTAAAGTTAAGCAAGTTGAAGTCTTTGTTGTAAAATTCTACGGCATCTGAACTTAAACTTTCTGCTGAAAAGTTACTTTTTATCTTTTGCTTCTGCTATTGAAAATGCATTGATCGTAATTTACTTCTTAGGTGCATGCAATCTTGTTCTTGCAATTTCTGAGAATCAGCAATAAATTGCTGTTTGATATCACCTTTTTCCGCTTCTTAAAATTTTCTCATGCACAAAAGTGTTTTGAATTAACTTTAACATGTGGCATATATCAAGTATGACATAACTTTTATACTTATATTGCTAAGTTGGAAAACCGTGGCTTCAAGTTTTCTGACAGCATATTGGCACCTAGTTTTTAAACATGTCACAAACAAGTACCACGGCTGTAATCTCAATATCTGACAGTTTTTATTCTCACTAAGCTTGCTCCTTCTTATCTGTCATGCCATTAATAAAGAAATACCCAACATGCATATTCCACTTGCTGTTTAGATGAACAACCATAAACACCAATACATCGCAAGCAAGAAGAGTCGTATCGTCTTCTGCATTTGCACCAACAACAACATAGCTAAGAAATATCTTTCCATTCAATTCCTTGTGTTTTCTTATGACCATTTCCTTTGGAATTAAAGCACAAATAATTTTACTCGTTCCTTCTTTTCCTTTTTTGCTACTTGTTGTAGTGTATTAAGTGCTTCTTGAGTGAAGCCTGACATCACATAATGCTTTGATATCACTTTCGAACAATAGATGAATGTGGTATAGTAAGACTGAAAGTACGTCTTACAACCTGTAGGTTTGGTGAAGTAAAACTGCAGTGTCAAGACAAAAAGACAACAAAAGTGGAGGATATTCTATGTGAGTAATTTTTTTTCTTCTGTTAATAAGTAGCCATTGTAAATATTTTTAAAGGGATATCAGAGTTTGCACAAACACCTTTGATGAAATAACAGTTCAATTCAAACTCCTGTTCTTTTGTTGTGAAAACTTTAATTTTTTCCTAACCGTTTTCAAATGATCAAGTACTTTTTTTCATTTTGCTTCTTTTTTGCATGATTATCACTCACATAGTAGCTAGGATCTAGAGGTACATCAGGTGTTATACTTGAAGTAACAGGAACTGGAGCAGCCTGGTCAGGTGTGCTTGAATTGGAAGACAGTAGTCTTTGTACTTATGTCTTCTATTTAGCAATCTGCAAATAAATCACAACATATATAATTGAATCCTTAATTTTCAAAAACCATTTGTTATTTTCTTTCGTTTCTAATAATTACTTCATTATTTGGACAACCTTCTTATTGCCTTACTATTGTAATTAATATAATATTTCTTATTAACTATAACTTCTACAGAATTGCTATAGTGCCAATGGATTAGAAGTTTATAGTCTGTTTATATAAACAGAAACAGCAACGAGCACCGTTGTTTTTGGCTTACATATCAAAATAAACCTTCCTAAAATTTGCAACCATATCATAAATGCTTAGTAAACTTTAAATATATTAACCTCTGATTTCACGAATGTTTTGTAGTTAATCAGATTCAAAACAGACTACTCTGAGTTTTTAGTTTCAAATATACTAATGCGTTTGATTAGTTTCTTTATATTATTATAGGACTATGTGTGATATCATTACTTTATTTACTCATTTAGTTTTGTTGTAACAAACTCCATTTAGCAAAAGGCCTTAAAAACTTTATGCAATAACGAATTCAAGCAAATCTAGATAGCTGAACATCAACAAAAGTTTTCTCAGAATAAACAACCCAGTTTTCAACAGTCTAAAGAAATGTTTGAACAATTAGAACAGCATTCTCCAAAGTCATTGTGGTAATATACCTTTTGTAGGTGCTCAGGAAATGAAAATACAGTGAGCAAAGCATCTTCTGTCAGATGAACATTTTGACCTGTTCTATTAAAACATTATTCTTCAAAATGTTCAGAGCACAACCTGCAATTTTTGCAGAACTATTACTTTCCTCTTCAAATATTTACAATTCATTTTTTCAACAGTTCGGGTTGTCTCCATGGAAAGCTGTATAAAATATGAAAATGCGTGAAATCGAGTGAATAGATAGCTACCTTATCATAATAAAATTAAAAGAAAACTCCGAGCATAAAAACTAAAGTTTTACGTACTCAAAATTAAAGTTGGCTTTACTACCATTATGCTTTACGTTACTATATCTAACAATGTAATATATTGGCAGTGGCTAAGCAATTCATAGTAATGTATTTATGAGGTAAAAAAAAAAACTTACCATTCAAACGACACAGGACCAGCTCTGATCTATTGTTACAATCCCGTGCAACACACGTTGACATTTTGGGATTACAAAACACTATAAACTACGTCTTAGCAAATGAAAATACCACGAAAGACCGAGAAGGATCATTGTTCAATCCAATTCTGTACAGAGATCAGGGATGCTGACTAAACTTTCTTCGGCAGATTTAAAGTCACACAAATACTGACAGATTATGTCTGGGATCCTATGATGTTATATGGGAAAAGCTTTGTAACATTTTCCAAGTGATTGAGAAAACTTGAGCAGTAGAAAACTTTGATCATTGTTTTGATATATGAATAAAATTTTTACTTTTATTTTACTTATTCCAAATCCAATATTTTAGCAAAAACGGAAAATAAATACACCTGTCGCGTGTGGTCTTTAGTTGTAATTATAAAACACATTAAAGGAATAATTTCATATGAATAATTTATAAGATCCTGTATAGTATTTTTCTGTGCACAACAACTTTACGACTTGTATCAGACATTTATTGATTTATAAACAAACACATTAGCAGACAACATGGTGTTTGAGCATCAACGGATTATGAAAGCTATCTATTATAAATAAACTTTATCAAAACGAATGATCTACTCTTTTATCCACACAGATTAGAAAATTGCGTGTTATACCTGAGCATCTACCTGTAATGAGACTGTAAAGTTCTTGTAAGAAACGCACACGCCATGACATATATTAATGGAAAAGCAAAACTGAATTTTTATGTACGCTTCAAACTGAAATTAAATACTAAGCAGTTTTAATGATAAACACCAGGTTCACTGTGAAAGCAGAGTAGCTTATATTAAAAATTATTTATCTTATTTTTTGCAAAACAAAGTAAAAGATTAATTCAAAATCTGCACCATTAACCAATAAAGAATTTTATATTGAGGGCAAACTCGTTAATAACAGTTGTTGGCAAATATTATTTTTTGTGAATAGGTGTAAAATACTAATAAACACCTGAACTCCTGCAGCCAAAACACAATATTCATGTTACAAGATTTGCTTTAGTTTATTACAATTGGTAATTACAATTTTACCATCGTAGAAGGAAAACAAGAAACATGTTAAACATAGTTTTGCAGTATTTTGTTTGAAGAATGAAATATATTGTCTGATGACTTAAAGAAAAATGAAACAACAATGCAGCACGTTACTAAATCAATTAAGGCCTGTATATCAATAAAACACATCAACGCTGTTGATATAACACTGTTGTAGTATTGTCTGTTCATAACGCTTCTCATCTGCTGATGTAAATGGGCAGGCAAAAAAACCAAGGCATAGTGAGTTTACAGTTTCATCAATATGGATTTAGTTTAATACTTTATCTGCTCTTTTTGAAAGCTGTCTGTATGTGTTAGTTGGGAAAGATTTAACATTAAATAACTTAGTTTAGATTATCAGTGAAATTCAGTTATGTTGAATTAAGCTAAAACATACCTTAAAAATAATCAACCAATTACTTGTTAGAAACGTGATAGTCAATATGTCTGTCCTTTGGTAGAGCAACTGAATTTAGTCATACAAAATGGTGTATAATCTAGTTAAAATTTCACGAATTTTATTTAAGCCCCTCTGGCCTTTGCGGCCGCAGTTTATTTTTCTAAATTTGCTGTTATTTACTCTCTTAGACTATTCTTTAGTAAATATGTTGGATAAAACGTTTAGGTTATGATCATTCTGCATACCAAACAATAAGAAATAATGTTGTCTGTTTCTGTAACTTAATGACTAAATGCTATAAATTCAAAATTTATTTCAAACATTTGAGAAATGTAAAACTTTTGTAATTCATAATTCACTGTAATGTGTTTTTGTAACAATTAGGGTCTAATTTGCTACACGTACGACACATACATGACCATAGATTTGAAGCAGAAATGTTTTACCAGCTAATTATGTTTTATTTGCATTTAACCCTTCTTATTTAGATTTCACTTACTTATGACACTGACGTTTACAGTTTGGTGATCTGAAGCGCCCTCAAGGTTTCTAGCTATGCACCTGTATCTTCCTTGGTCAGAATCCCTCACCTGGTGGATAACTAATGTACCATTTGGAAAGACCTGCTGTTTACTGGTGACAGGGAGTTGAATTCCTCCTACGGTAGAAAGATTTATGTAATTTATGACCACCTTTCAGTTATTATTATCATTGTTCTTTTTCTTTGTTGTTAAGTTAAATGTGACCTTTTCGTGTCAAATGTGCTTAACGTTTAAACATTTCGTGATATATTTTTCATAAACCAGAAAGATTTATTTCACTGCCGCAGATATTAAGATTAGGAAGGAAATTAAATAGATACCAGGATTAACGAAAACCTTTGATAAAACTGAAATACACTTTTAGCTAGGTCAAACCCGTAAATAGTTTGTATTCATAACTTTGCTATTTATAAGATAAATTGCTGCTGTTTGAAACTCAAGAAAAGCTTGTACCTGATTTATGACCTTCCATAAAATCTTGAAGTTTATAATAATACATTCTCCCTAGATAAGCAAAATATTTGAACGAATTTTGGTGTGTGTACATGTAAACAGAGATAAAAAAACGTTTCGTATTTCGTATAATTTGCTCGAGAAAACCAAATTTCCATAGACAAAAGACAGGTGAATTACATTCTACTTTTAAATACAGTAGCTTAATGAATGTATAGGATGAAAAGCTGAAACACTTTACCAAAGTTTTTTGTTTATTCATTGTTCTTAATTCAGTTAGAATATTATGTATATATCACACGAAGCAAGGTAGTAAATTTGATTAATATTCATAAATACTCATATTACTAGGTGCGCCTTCAGAATATACCTTTTTCCCAAGTTATACTGTGGATAGGATAACCAGACACTGGGCAGCGTATAGATAGCCGTTGTCCCTCCACAACCGAAACGTTGCCCATAGGACGAACAAACGGCGATCCGTATATATCAAGTCTGTTACTGTGAGTCACTGAACCAACAGGATTGGATACTTTACACTGGTACACACCTCCATCTTGGACGCGTACATTGCTGATGTTCAGGTAACTAACAACCATTCCATCGTTTCTCACAATAGTTTCGTTAAAAAATCGACCGAAGTTCGGAACTGCTTGCCCGTCAACGAACCATATCACTTCCGGAGAAGGATGACCGGAAGTTTTACAGAACATGGAAACCGAAACTCCAGGATGAACTTTCTTTTCTGGAAAAGTCTGATGAAAAACTGGTGGAACATCTGCAAATGTAGTTTTTGCTAAATTTCAAAAATTAAGACGCAAATTTATAAGAGCTCTTGATTTGTATAAATAATAAATTTATGTTTATATTAAATAGATTTTTTTTTGGCAAGGATTTATATGCATGATGTATGTGATTTATCTGTTTTCAGCGTCTAACTATTTTAAGAATATTATTGTAATTGTATGGTATTATATACTTAAATTGTATACATTTTCGACTCCATAAAACACATAGGCCAGTGAAAATGGATATTTTTTATTTTTTTTACGTTTACCTGAAACTCCTCCATGTAGAATGTATATACAAGTATAGAGTTTATGAGTTATATTGATCGTTTTAATGAAAGTGAAAACATTAGTGACGATCTGGATGTGAAAGATAAGGCTCTAGAAATTTGAATAATTTTTATATACGTTCTATGTGTTCTCATACATGATTTATATTTCTAATATACATCAAAAAGTTACAAGTTAAGTAGAATGTTTCTGTTCTAAATATGAAACGTATGAATATGTTTATTACAGAATATTATTAACATATAACAAGCTTTTCTCACCTCCAACTACTAACTGGGCTGTAGCCTGTTGACTGTCTCCGCGACTGTAAACAAAGCACTGATACATTCCTTGGTCTTCCTTGTTTACCGAGTTTATATAAAGCACATTCCTTCCTTGAAGATTAACTCTCCTATTTGCCACCAGAGGGCGAAAGTTTTTTGTCCAAACAATCGAGTCGATTGGATGTCCTACAATGCTACATGTGAGTGTGGCTACTCCTCCACTAAGAACAACCAAGGAATGAGGCTCTATCCGAACTTGTAGATGAACTAAAAACAAATTCGTGAACAACAAATAAGAGCTAAACTAGAAAGTGTAATAAAATAACATCATAAGATTGCTAGTTATTTTCATTATCTTATTCTTAACTGAAATGAAACTAGTTTTCGACATAAAAAGTGTTTTTTAGCATATAAAAAAGTGTATAGTTAACATGCTAAATACACCCTGTATCTCTGGAAACCCCTACTAGGGTTGTTAAAAATGTATTACAACTACAAACAGATGATTTTTTAATGTTTCATCACACATATAGAAAAAACGTGACCTAATGGTTAGCGTTCTCTGACTGTGAATAGGATGATTCATGGTTCATGGCCTTTCGAACTTTCTCGGTCCGAACTTTGGGGCTGTAGATGCGCTATAAAAGTCCCATTATTAAGTTGGATAAGAGTAGTTCAAAAGTTGGCGGTATTTAACTGTTGCCTAGTTGCCTTCTTTTTGCCAGTTTAGATCAAAATTAGAGACGGTTATACTTGGCATAACTGTGCAAAAAATCTGAAACAAACAAAAAATCGTCACACATGTACTGGCCTAATCTGAAACAAACAAAAAATCGCCACACATGTACTGGCCTAATCTAAAACAAACAAAAAATCGCCATGCGTGTACTGGCCTAATCTGAAACAAACAAAAAATCGCCACGCATGTAATGGCCTAATCTGACACAACAAAAAATCGCCACGCATGTACTGGCCTAAAAAGCTTCATGCTTCCCCACCTGCGATATAAGAACTATGGACTTGTGCTGTAGCAACACCCATTTTTACGCTTTATTACAAGGATTTAACTAAGTGATAAATTCTGATTAGATTTTTCTAACAAGATCTTAACCATGCGATTAACCGACAGTCATACATACATCCAATAGACATCTATACAGTTATCCGATAGATATCTAGATATATATTATCATCGTTATTAAAAATGTGATACTGAATTATCTAAGCTATGATATATCCACATCTTCCAGTCACGCACTGTTGTCTTGATTTAAGTGAAGCATTATCATTTATGACCACAGCGCATTTTCTGGGGAAACGATCAATCGACTGTTAAGCGTCGCATAGTCTCAGTTGTAGCATACTTTGATAATGCATCAAGTCAGATATATCATAGTTTGCATGGTTTCAGGTGTTATTCGCATATCGCATACAAATTGATAATCATATAAGGTTGGCTGGCTTTTTTACTAAGTCAGAATACCGAAACATAATTATTTTATCAATAAGAAATCAGCGTTGAACGTGTGTTTCGCAAATTATACTATATGTAAACATATACAATGGTTTCTGTTTGTGGTATTCATAAAACTAAGCAGAACAGAAACGGTGAATGATACTGTTTGTTTCAGAGAAGTAAAAAAAAAATATAATAATAATAAGCTAGATTGATATATGAAATCTTAGGCCCAGCTAGACCATGTGGTTAGGGCGCTTGACTTGCAATCTGAGAGTCGCAGGTTCGAATCCCCCTCACACCAAACATGCTCACCATTTCAACCGTGGGGGTGTTATAAAGTGAAGGTCAATCCTACTATTCGTTGGTAAAAGAGTAGTTGGCGGTGGATGGTGATGACTAGCTGCCTTCCCTCTGGTCTTACACTACTAAATTATGGACGGCTAGCGCAGATAGCCCTCGTGTAGCTTTGCGCGAAATTCAAAAATAAGCAACCGAATTGTTAAAAATAAAAAAACTTCATAATTTGTAATGCTAACTTTGTTATTTATTCATCATTTTACTTGTTTTAATATTATTACACAAGTGTATAATCAAAACGTTTAAAGCTGTATGAACTTCTCTCCCTGATGTATATATATATCATTAGCACAGACTGAACAGTACACGAAACCAACAAAATAATGCTAAAAAAAATAATTCTCTGAGACACGTGATCTATAAGTTTAGAGTGAAAATTCTAGGAACAATTTTCTTTCGCTTGTCAGTTCCTAGAACAACCAAACGGCTAATTGCTGGGCCAGATTAGTGTACTGCAGCTTTTGAAGCTCAATTTTTTTGTGTCTTGATTTCGAAACTATACTCCCTTAGAAATGGTTTATCTACATCAGGTATACGTTTCTTTATTGATTCAGTAATCAGTAGCATGAATTTTTGGACAAATAAAAACTTCTTTCGAAGACTCAACGAAGTTTACTTCTAATTATGAGAATTCAAATTATACAGTTAAATATTTCTAACTATACATTTTCTTCTGATATAAAATCTCAAATAGATTAGAATATGTAAAGCAAAGATATATCTTGAATGTTTAATAAACTCAAATCTTTGTTCACTGTACTGTTCGATATTTTCCAACTTTTAGATATGACAGTTGCCTCTAAAATACATCTACCAGTTAACCGCCTATTCATTGACATTAGAGTATTTGCTAAATAATTCATGTCAACAATTCTTCTCATAAAGTTTGGAAGATTTTTCTTTAAATATATATTGTACCAGAACGCAAATATTTAAACAGTTGTTTGTTTGCACAGTATTTTCACACAAGCCATCGAACTAATTTCACAAAATGATATACAATGGTCACGTCAATTTTAATTAGCAAGATAAAGAATTAAAATAATGATTTTTATTATGAAGATGCATAATGGGACCAATTACTCTGCATATTTCTCTGTAATAAGGTAGTTTTATGAAATGAATAGAGGTTTTTATCTCTTATTATTTTCTCCTTTCAGGAGTTATATCATGGACTAGAATGATATTTTAAAGATTTAGCAAATATATGACCTCTCCGAAAATATCGTGTGTGTGTGTTTGTTTGTTTGTTTTGAATTTCGCGCAAAGTTACACGAGGGCTATCTGCGCTAACGGTCCCTAATTTATCAGTGAAAGACTAGAGGGAAAGCAGCTAGTCATCACCACCCACCGCCAACTCTTGGGCTACTCTTTTAACAACGACTAGCTGGATTGACGTAACATTATAACGCCCCCATGGCTTAAAGGACGAGCATGTTTGGTAGGACGGGGATTCGATCCCGCGACCCTCAGAATGATAGTCAAGCGCCCTAATCACTTGGACGTGTGTGTCGTCTGACATATCGGTTTTACAAATTAATTATAGGCCCGGCATGGCCAGGTGGTTATGGTGCTCGACTCGCAATCTGCGGGTCGCGGGTTCGAATCCCTGTCCCACCAAACATGCTCACCCTTTCAGCCGTGGGGGCGTTATAATGTGACGATCATTCCCACTATTCGTTGGTAAACGAGTAGCCCAAGAGTTGGCGGTGGGTGGTGATGATAGCTGCCTTCTCTCTAGTCTTACACTGCTAAATTAGGGACGGCTAGCGCAGATAGCCCTCGTGTAGCTTTGAGCGACATTCAAAACAAACAAACAAACAAATTCATTAATGATTACAGTTGCTGATGAGAGTTCCTCGCAATCATATTCCATGTATTTTTGTCATTACATAAAAAAATTTATGAGTCTCCTTTTGTTTTTAGCTTGTAGCTGGACCTCGCAAGAAGATGAGGGTACAAAATCGAAACTTCAGACAACATGTATATAACATAAATATTTTTATCTCTCATGGTTTAGAATAGTAATTATTGTTGTATTTTATTGATGGCGGAGAACTCGTGTTCTATGTGTGCTATGTATTCATCTGTAAACGTCTGTGAAATAGGATTTATGTTTTGTGCATTCTACGTTACTTGCTTAATTATACATCTCTGAAACAAGTAAAATATTTCAATTGAATCAACAGTTATAATGCTAAGTCTAATGCTGTGACAAACGTGCCAGGTGTAAAGTATGAAGTCCACACTTAGGCTGATATTCTACAAACTCTTCAACGTTAATTTCTTAACTTAGAAAAAAATAAAAATATAAAACTTTCGCAAGGAAAACTATTAATAAGAGCTGAAGATACCGTGATATGTACTTTAACCTTCAATATAACGACTTGTCTTTATAACGTTTACTACCGGTGATTTTGTTTGTTTGTAATTAAGCACAAAGCTACACAATGGGCTATATGTTCTCTGCCAACCACGGGTATCGAAACCCGGTTTCTAGCGTCGTAAGTCCACAGACATACCCCTGTGCCACTGCGAGTTTACTACCGGTGGGGTCTGCATATTGCATCATGGTGAGTAATTCTATATATTTCCCATCACAAAATTTGGTGTAATGAATTGTAAAAACAAAATGGGCACACAGTAATTCATTCTGTAAAATTTATAGATAACTCCAGCAGCACTTAGTAGAATCAATTGCAATATTGATATTGTTCTTTTCCATGAGACTCCTATATCATTAGGGGCCCTGAAACCTACAAAGTCATGAACTCGCAAAGAACTTGATGTGTAAATAGTTTAGCAAAAACATGTCTAAGAAGCAAATTGGGTTCCAATACCCATTGGTAATTGTTTATTTCGGATATTTCCGCTAAGGTACACAAGGGCTATCTTTGCTAGCTGTCCCAATTATTGGTAGGATAAACGAGAAAGAGGGCAGGCAATCAGCAGCACCCACTGCTCACCCTCGGTCTACCTTAATAGAACAGTGAAATTTTACTGTCACTCTTATAACGCACTCACAGCCCAAGCATATGGAACGCACTTTTGAGGGAATTGGTCGCTAATTATGAATCCTAACCCCTCAGCTACTCCCAGCCCCATTGCTAGTTTAAGAGGTAATATGATTTTCGACGTGTTATCCAAACCAGTATAGTACCCACTCAACTCGTTCAACTTTATTATTGAAAAGCTGTTTTCATTATGTGTGGAATATCAACATAAAATATATATAAAGCTAGTTAATCCTTTATTTCTTCAGATTATTCTTCACGCTCGTATATATATATATATATATGATTTATAATGCACAAACATATTTAAGCAATAATACAGAATTCCTTTTATTTAATCAGCTGTCATGGAAACTTTATAATATTGAAGTCGAAAATTTTATATATTTTGATGCAATGAAAATTAATAAAGTGATTTAATAACCAACTAACATGACTTTTGATATTATTTCTTAATTTCTTGATTTCATCTTTTCGACTCTTTGTCTCCAACTATATATTTAGTTTATGATATTTACATGTTTATAGTGAGTCATTATTTTAAATCAAAAACTCAATTCAAACTGAGCTAAAGATGGCGGTGGTTCCCCCTCTTTTGAAAATAGGGTCCTGACTTTCCCTGCTCAGACACCTATGCATTATTCCTTTATACGTCATCACTGGAGTCTGGGAAAGTCAGCTCTTCGTTCAATCAGTAAAACTAGCAAACAGTGATAAGTTTTGAGTAGTCTAAGTTTACTACTTAATTAAGCGAATGAGGTTTAGATCGTGTAACGTTTAAAAGAGATAGAATGTAAATTTTCCATTCCAATAGCGAGATAGTTATAATGGTTTTATCTTTTATACGGTTAGTTAATGATTGCGAAGAAGTGGGGTCAGGTCCACTTCGTGCAAAACTCTGTTGATAATATTTTTAACAAATTAAAAAGAACGTGGAATCTTTCATAAACAAGCACATGTCATATAATTTAGATTTTAATTTTAGGCTTCTATTTATCTCTGCTTCCACATAAAAATATATCTCTAACGTAATCCACATCATTCCCTCTATAATTTGAACCCAAAACTATCTAACCATAGGCAGCTACGAATATTGATGTAACCTAATTACTTCATCGTAATAATAATATACTTTCAGTGAATGTAAACATTATAAACATTTCATTTTTTTTCACATTTCATGACTTGTATAGCTGCTGGCAAAAGACAAGATACCTAAGTCCTAAAATTCCTGTGAGTAATGAGTTATGTACACGTTGTAATAACCAAAGACGTACTTTAAAAAATGACACTAAAATTTATTCCGATAGATCTTCTTTTTTTATGCTTCGTATTAAGGTTCTTTAATGAGGATTACATAAAAAACAGAAAGATGATTCCATGAAATTCTCATTGTAATAAACTAACCAAAGCTTTAACGTATGTTGGAGTTAAGGTTCTGTATAGTTTCATTATAAATATGTCATGTCTGTTAAAAGTTGGCAGAAATAGAACACCTGCTGTTGCATGTTGGAAGTAAGAATTAAAAATGTCCGAGAGTAGGAAACTATTGATGCTAGAATTTGTTTTTGTCAGAGACAGACGTTCACAGCAGAAAATATTATATATTTATCAAATAAGTTTATGCTCTAGTTAATCCTTCAGAGTAATTACTAATTTCACCCAATGATCACAAATGTATAAGATGATTATTATATTTTAGAAAAATCTAATAATCGATGTTCCAATACCATATCATTATAAATTAATACGTTATTGTTTTTGTTTCAATTAAATGCAAATCTGCCTGAAATGGAGCATACAACGCTTTAATATTTTTGAGTTATTAATAAGAGCACTTATTACGTTCTAATATTAT